TCATGTTTAAAAACTCCTATTTTGTGTTAAAAATAACACTTTTCAAACTTAATTTTAACTGTGTCTTTTATGTTCGTTGTTTTGCGCTATTTTCGTAAAAAAATAAAAAGCGACACATAAGTTTCAAGATATAATAATGATGTATGTATTTTAGTACATAAAATCTGACCAGCCCATCTACATAACCTGTTTACATACATAAGAATATTACCCTAAGGCGATGACACACTGAGCGCTTTAAGAAATTTTTAGAAAAAATTAGGTTATAAAGAACCATAAGTTTGTCTTCTAGACTCGTACAAATCCACCCAATAATTGGTGTACCTACTGTAAATGTCAATTAAAATTTGCATTGGAATAATTCTCAAAAAAAATATTCAAACTCGTTTTGAAAAGTGCGCACTTCGAGTTTTAACAAGTTTTGAATTTACAACAATAGTTTATAAGTCTGTACGTTTACATCAGTAAAATTATCAAAAATATACACATTGTGAATTATAATTTACTAAATTAAAGTGATAATAATTAATACATACCGTATCTTTACAAGCGCGAATCTTCGATATAAAGTCCGGCTAACGCCACATCATGAACACGTCTTTCTCCCTCCGAAGTTGGTTTTGGACTGAATAAGAACGAGGTTGTTGCCGCCCTCCCAACGCGATGGGCGGGGCGTGCGCTGGGCGTGGCCGGAGGCAGCAAATCGCCTTTAGATTTACACTTCTTTTGCTCCCAAGATGCTGCGGGTAGCCGAGATTAACAAAGCCTCAAGTGAAGTCGTCATTCCTGGTACTTATTTGGTATTTAGATATGTCTATCAACTGTAGGGTGACCAATTCTCAACGGTGCAGGGTCCAAAAGTTTTAAACATCAATATCTTTCTAAAGTACTCTTTTTGTAATGTTAATCTAAACGTTAACAATGTTATGTATTGTTGAGGTTTACATTCAATAAATCTTAAAAAAAAAGTCTCTATAAGATTAAAATGTCACATGACCAAATTATGCAGAATAGTTCATCATCATCTTCACGTCCTATTCTTACTTTAAGTCGACGCACCAGGTTTTTATCCTCTTGATTAATCTATCTTCTATTACCCTGTCTTCCTTCTTAAACAACTCACCTTTCACGCAATCTATCCATCTCTTTCTAAGTCTACCTCTGCCGGTGTACCTCCACACTCATAAAGTTTTTGTTACTTGTGGTATATCCCTCATGACATGCCCATACCATGCCAATCTTTTACTCCCTTATGTCTCTACCATGTTGGCTACTTCCAGACTTCCTATGTATCCTGTGACATCAACAATTTTAACATTTGAAAAGACATTAGAACGTAAATATTTTAACTTGTAGCACCAATGGTAAATAAATTAGGAAATATGTAGGAAAAAGATAAGTAAGGTTAGCATGGTATAGGCATGTTATGAGGAGGGAAGGATCCCATGTGACAAAAGGAAATATGAGTGTGGAGGAGTGGGGATAGGCTTAGGAAGAGATGGATGGACTGCGTGAAAGGTGACTTGAAAAAGAAAGCATGGCATATTGAGGACATATGTAAACCTGGTTCTCCGACTTTACTGGAGTAGAATAAAGATTGGAGGATGGTAATAATGACGCGAGGTTTAAGAATATTTTCTGTACTGGTGTTACGTTTCAACTGTTTTAATGCAACAGACATTAAATATTTTTGTGCACATTTTAGGTACTATCTCAGGTCACAGAAAACAATGGGTTATTCCGTCATTATCCACGTCCTCAGCAAAAATCGTTAATTCGTCTTATTACCTTTAATAACCTTGACTGTAATCCTATAACACTGCGGGGAAAATGCATTAGGACTAAAACCCGCTATATATCTTCAGTTTAGTAACAATACAGTCAAACTGCATAAATAAAAGTGAAAAAGTGTAGGCAAAATTTAAACTGTACATTTTGACTATGCGAAAACTAAAGGCGCTTGGAACACAATACATTAACATTCAAAAACAAGAAACACATCGCAAAAACTATTATCCTGCTATAATCGGATAATAATATGAAAAGGTTATTTATGTAGAGAATAAAGGTTGTTATACTAAACACCAGTCAATATGAGGTGTAAGTGCCCTGCCGTGTTAGTGTTATCAACAAGAGAATATCAGTTGCCGTTCTTAAAGTTGAAAATTGTACAATAAATATATAAATTGATTCAGTATACTGTAATGCCTAGAGATCCACATAATTTATAAACGATGTTAGCTATTCATAAAAAATTGGACCACATTGGTTTACACTTACTAGCTATTGCTCTCGACTTTGACTGCGTGATATAAAAATAATAAAAAATAGTCATATTACTACTGAGTAACATGACTATTTTTTATCACTGGATAACACATATTTTTAATGGTACATTTTTTAAAATAATTTTTGAAATCGGCCTAGTAGTTTTAACTTATTACAATACAAATATACAAATCTTTTTTTTTTCATGACACTAGTATATACTTATACTTGGGAATTGATTATTGGTCTTTTTTATCGCTCAATCTCTGAAATATGTCTTACACATTTTACAAAACTGCAATAAATTCTATGAAATACAGTTATATAAATTTTAATATTGCAGTTATCTTTAATTTCAATAATTCGTGAGAAATATAAACATAATATTCTAATTTTTTGTTTTTTAAATCAATTTACTATTCATGTTTTGCTTTTCAACAAAATTCATTTTCATTATTATCCAAAATATGGGTCATCAGAGCCATCTGTTGGTTACATCACAATAGACAAATATTATAGGAGCGAAAATTATGGTTTCGATGTTTCCTATACTTTCGTACAGTCTCTGAATTAGAACGCGTCCAATCAATAGTCATCGCAGAGTTTAAGCAGATGGCGGCACTTAACACACGCAGGGCGTTATCAAGTGTTATACGTTTTAGTCAAACTAGCCGAAAAATTGGTTTATTAAAGCCGTGGGTAACATTTATCATAATCTTGTTATATTTAAAATTTCTTCTACAAAAGTTGTAGAGTTTCTATACTTTTAATATTAAATTCGAAATCAAGGAATTTGTTTTGACTTCATACAGCTTTGTGGCGTACGTCTAAAAATGGGGACATCTTTTACCGCCATCTTGCGTCGCTTCTGTCAAATGCGGTCATTTTTCGTAAAGTAATTTTGTCTCGGCGTTTTGCATGAAGCAAACATTGAAAAACTTGCAAGTTATACGATAGTATTCGTAATTTTATTGGCAACTTCATGAAAATGTACAAGTTAATAATGTGGCGGAAAATTTAAGTGAAAATAACAAAATCGAGTCTAAAAAAATGCCTACTCCAAGTTGGGCGTACGTGACAATAGAAATGTCGTAGACGTCGATCGATTGCAAATGTGAAAAAAGATTAAATGTAAATATATTCGAACTGCAGGAGAAAGTTTACCCCATAACTGTAATGTTTTGATTTGTGTGGGAACAATAACAAGGATCTACAATGTCTGATATGAAGCAAGTGAAAGTTGATAATTGGGGAGTATATTTCCTTCAACGATTGAAGCATTTCTTCAACCGGACTGATTATTGTGACTTAACACTGCAGTTCCAAGACAATGCTCAACTAAAGGTACATAGACTAGTACTTAATGCTTGCACTGAATATTTCGAACTGCTTGAAAGAACTTGCGAGATGTACGAGGATTGTTTGGTTATGCCGGATGACTTGCAAGCAGACGTCGTTGTACCTATAGTCAACTTCATGTACACCGGCCAGCTCGGTTTCAAGCCAGAATTGTTGGAAAGACTATATCAAACTGCACAGGTAATGAATATGCCTGTCCTAACTAAACTATTAGATGCTCACAGAAATCAAATGCAACGAACAGGTCAAGATTATCAGAATTTAAGATCATATTCTAAATCATTTGAGGCTCCTAAACAATCAAAATCACCAGCAGTGGCCTCAACTAGTTATATGAGCACAAAGCGTTCATACAGTAAAGCATTTGATAATACATTTCCTACAAAAGTTAAGAAACAAACTGTTGAAAAGAATTCCCTCAAGTCTGATAACTTGTCAAATGAACTTACACAATCTATAGATTCTGTAAAGAAAAGGCCTTCAACTTTTGAGTCTCGACCAACAAGGTATGAAATACCAGAAGAATTAGATGGTGATAATATATTTGACAACTCATTTACAAGTATATCTTATGAGTCAACACCATTGATGGTGCATCCTGAGACTGTGAAACGTTACTCATCTAAAAAAACTAACATCTTTGATGAGACTTCTAGTGCTAAAAGATTGCTCCATGCCACATCTACGTTAGACATTGTAGAATGTAAAAAACTTTCATCAAATGAAAACATTTTTGATGATGTCTCCGAAAATATTACAGATGATGCATTCTCATCCAGTATTCATAAAAAACAACAAAAGGACTCAAGTCAACTTTTTGATCTAATTTTGGATAATGATAATACAAAAGCAACAATAGAAATAAAAGACAGTGATACAACTAAGAAGCCAAAAATGGATCATGCAAAAATAATAAGTGATGTTCTCAAGAAATATCCACATTTGGTTAAGAGTAATAAAAATATTAAGTTAAGAGTATTGGATGCTCCTATTAAAAGTAAAAAATCCAAATATACAAATTCTTACCAAGAAGAAAAAGATATAAAAACAAAAAGTGACCATGATTGGACACTTGACATTGATGTGCTTGATTCAAAAGGTGCTGCAAAGCTAATCGCGATGGGAGTTAACAATATCAGTGGACCATGGATATGTCTCATCTGTGGTACACCTGGACGGGCCTTGCATTTCAGCTCCTATTATAAATTCCGAAGACATTTAGTAGAAGTACACAATGAAAAACCAGTGGTGAATATGTGTGAATATTGTGGATTGAAGTCACATAAAAGAAATTACCTTTTGCATCATGTATACACCAAGCATGGAGTGCCCCCGCCCTCACCTTACAGTTTCCCAAAATGTAACCAATGCAGTTACATTGCTTTATCTGAATCACTACTTGCAAAGCACAAATCAACACAACATGATGATAGCAAAAACTTTACTTGTAATGTTTGTGCTGCCACATTCACTTCTTCAACGCGGCTGCTTACACATATTCAAATGACAGGACACAAGTACAGTGCCGATAGAAAGTCTACATTGCATTGTATTTACTGTTTTAAAACATTCTCACGGGAAACAAATCTCTACAACCATTTAAGATTCAATCATAAAAAATCTGCACAAATGGATAAAATTATTGAGGAATCTGATGATGAAAAAGAGTTCAAAACGGCAGCAAGTGGAAAGTCTGATAAAACTAAAAATATATCTCTTACTTTTACAAATGAATATGAAAATATAGATGTCAAGTATCAAATTCAACAGAAACCAGATGGTAATATTCAAGTGCTTTCAAAATTACCACAGTCTCCTGGTTCATCAAAACATAAGATATTAAATCCTTCCTTTAATTCACCCACTAAATTTGCACAAAAATCCGAAATATTAATAAGCAACAAAAATAAACCAGAGGTTTGTGAATTGAAACCTTCAAAAATCATTAATAAAGAAGATGAAATTGTTGTGATTAATGGAAATGAATATATTATTAAGGAGAATCATCTTATTCCAAGATCACAAAATGCCTCTGAAAATGAAGAATACATATTAAGCAATGTAGATACAGAACAAAGTGAAAACAATTCTATACCAACCACATCAATGGACTTCCCTCTGATTCATGACACCAATACTGAAGAATCTAAAATGATAATTAAGAAACCAAATTATGCAAATGAACCAATAGAAATTGTTGTTTCAAGTGAGGAACAATACAAAGCCTTGATGTCTTCGACTCATTCTATTATTTTTGAGGAACCAAATAAAACACTGACAGTTTTAACTGCCCCTCAAACTTCCACACTTGATGCGACTACTATTGATCTAGATAATACTCAATCAAACGATATGATGATAATTCAAGAAAATTATCCATTAAATGTATCTGAAACTGTTTCTCCAGATAATAATAATATTGTTGTGGTATACAGCCACCAAATGGAGGATCCAAGTAAACAATTCCAATATATACCATCTCAAGCTATTGAAGCACAATTCATACAATCATCACCGATGGTGTCTCATAACTATGGAACAGTGACTACGTCCACCCCAATTATGAGTGTCCATACATTAGAGACTAGTGTAAATGAGTCATGGCAGAAAAGCCTTAAAGATGGAGAAACTGTCCCAATTCAGTTAGAGCTGCAACAACAGATGGATATAAGTGATTCAAATGAACAGCAATTGATTGGAGACCCACAAAATTCATCAGATGTCCAAAGTCCTCAAGATATTCCATCCTCAGCAGACTCTTCAGTTGTTACAACAAACTTAAACACTATCGAAGAAACCACTACCCAGACATGCATAGAAAATACGAATAATACTGAAACAGTTTGTATGGAGGAAGTATTAATAAATGAAGTCCCAAGTATAACAGCCACAAATGTAGCTCCAACAGAGCCAAGTGAGCAACTGGTACATAAAGAAATACAAACTGAAAGTATAGATATTGTATGTTCAAACCAATCAGATGTACCAGAAAGTACTGTTAAAGTAAGTAACGGACAATTAAATGTAGTTGCAGATAAAAGTAATGAAAACATAATTGTTTTGCAAGAAAAGGTGGAAGATATTGATATAAATAGTGAAGTTAATACAACAGTTGCTCAAGGTGCATCAGTTATTCAACAAGTAATTACTGAAGATGCTGAAATGAATAGTGACTCCAATATAGTTGAGGTTTCAACAAACGACACAGAAATCACGCAACCAAAAGATAAAGAACTGCCTGATCTCTCAGCCGAGTGGATTGCAGTTGACAAAGAAAAGTTAATAGCAGACACTGTTGACACTAATGACACAGGAGGTTCTGCATACATAGAAGAATCAATTGAAAATATTCAACAAGAAATGGCCAAACAATTAGAAGCTATTACAACCGAAAACAATACAATGCAATACAATGAACCACTGTCTACACCTAGCACAAATGACCCAAAATTACAACATGAATCAGTTATAAAAGAACTAGATACTGAAAAAGATTCTTCGAATTTAGATTTAGATGATAGTGAAATTGCTACAGAAGAAACAGACACAAAAGAGGTTTCACAAACCAAAGACGAAGAAATCCCAGCTTCATTATCAACATCCGTAGAATCCGAATCTGCTATCAGTGAGGGATCACCAAATACTACAGATAATGCAGAAACTACTAGTGAAAACATTCAAGACAATGTAGTGAACGAAACTGAGCCTGTAATTAATACTGGAGATGTAACTGACACCACAGATGTCCTATCACCTGAAAGCAAAGAGGTAGTGGTCAATGACGACACAGAAGATAAAATTGAAGAAAAAGGTTCAGTAGAAGAAAATCATACAAAGCCACAAGAACGGTCAGTTATCTCATTAAATAATAAAGCAAGGGAAAAAATAAACACAATACTAAATGATTGGGATGATGTTGATGATCAAGATGATGAAAAAGATGATTTGATGAAAGAAAATGAATCCATTGTAGTGAAGAACAATGATGATATTGTGCAGGAAGTAGAAAAGGTATCAGACATCAAAACTGAGCAAGAATCAACTGAAACAGTTAAAATTGAAGTAATCAGTAATGACAAAATAAAAAGCATTGTCAGTGATTGGGATGACGATGAAGAGGAAGAAGAAAGTAAATGCAAATAACAAATGAAACTCTTTTATGTGTATGAATATTATAAATGTAAAACTTCATTATGGTATTAACAGATAGTGTTGTCCCATTCCCTTTGAGTAGAAGAAATACAGTATTTTATTATATTTGGAATACAGATCAGAAATAACTTGGCATGTTTTATATTATATGGAAGTTCTAACATGTTTGTAATCAAAACAGTTTTATTATCATACAATGTTTGTTGTTTTAGCTTATATTGCATTATGATATACATTTTATTAAATAGATTGAGTGAAATTAAATCTTATAAATGTTTAACAATAATTAATTGTACATCTAGACATTGTAGTGTTTGCCGGAATAGTAATTTGGTGTTTGCATTTATTGGGAAAAAATGTAAACATTCGTTAGCTCCTTAATCATATAATTTTAAGAAATTAGTTTACTATATGTAAATGACTAAAATGTAATCTTTTCAGTCTTCAATATTTATGAAACCATGTCAAAAATAGCTTTTGCTATATTTACTTATTGTTCTCAACAAAAAATTGCTATATTTAAGTACCATTGTAATCAATTCTGTTTTTTTAAGCATAAGAATCTAAGTTATATGGATATATTTAAAAATAGAATAGAGCTACATATTTCTATTGTATCACAAAAGTGGTTTAAATCAATTATATAGTAGCATAAGTGATAGCAATAAATAAATTTTACAAGAAATGTTTCTTTATTTACTAATTTTCAAATAAGCATTAGCTGTTAAGTGATCACCCTTAGCAGTAGCTAAGAGGGCTTTGTGGCACAATGCCCTATCTTAAAAATACCAAAATCTCAGATTTTACACCTAAATTATCTGAGAGAAAGAAAAATAAATGTAGGTACATGGACCTAAACTTTTTTTTAGTATTACTTTGTGTAAGAAATGGACACTGATACAGATTTTTCAAAGAAATGAAACAAAATGCTTATAAAAAATACTGTTTAATTGATTTTATACATTAATAACAAACTGCCAGCACATTTCACCTATTGATATATTGTGTGTTTTTAATATTACAAATAGTTCTTATTAGAAATTCAACCATATTTAAAAATCTAACATCAAAATTTGTAAAAGAAAACTACAAGTTAAGAAATCAATAACCCACAGCCTTTTTCAATCAGGTAGCAAGTTATTTTAACATATCCATTGTAAAACTAAAATGAATTCAATAAATGCAATTAAATGATAAATCACATCTACACAAAAATAACATTAATAGAATCATTGTCTAGAAACATGTTTAGAAAATGACAAAGGTACAAATAAATAATTAGGCGAAGATTCAAAGTATTAAGATTTAAATAAATAACATATTTGAAAATATGTTTTTAGGAATGAATATAGCCTTATAATATTAAATTTCTTTTAGATTATACAAAAATAACCAGCAATTACTTGAAATTCCGCATTTTATTTCAACTAAGCATTGTTATATATTGTATACAATATTTGGAAATTGCTATATCAATTTGCACTATAAAATGCTAAATTTTCTTCTAGCATATACTTTAGATATAAAATATTGCAAAACAACTGTGATCCTACTGTAGGCTGTAGTTGGTGATCTAGACTAGTCTACAGAGCGGCTACCTCCTCTTTAGCAATGCCCAAGGCTGCTACAATAACTACACCTATGTGGTTCGAGATTACTATTGTAGAACTTCACTTGGAAGAGTCTAAGAATGGAATGAAACCTCTTAGACTGCGGTCAAAAAACTTCCGACTCACAGGACATAGAGGTCTAAAATCTAGATTTATACAGATATTTTTATCTGATGTTTTGAATGTCTATGTTAATAGACAATTTAGCCTACTCCCTGTTCCACTGTCCGGTTTGCCGCAAGTTTCATGACCACAGCCTTATGGTCAGATGAAGAAATCAATCATATTTGCAAAGGTCCTGTTAATACAGATGGAGTGAAAATAATCATTATATTTACAAAATAAGTTACAATATTTACATTTAACTTTTGAAAAAAGACTTTCATGTTCTATTTGAGTGTTGCCCTAATCGGAGATAGAAATTAATACATATTTCACCATGTATGCAAGAAGCACAAAGCCGACAATCACAAAGAGGTTGGTTAAAATGTAGTACATGTTGGATTGTTGTTCTGTTGTCACTTCTCTGTTACTATTCATGTTAGAGTTGTTTGCTTTGAGCAAAGCTTCCTCCCTCTTTTTAATCAACTTCTCAATCTCTTCTACATATTCCGGAAATAGCTCACAGAACATTTTGTTTTTAATGTTAATATCGAGCGATTCAGCTGCCAAACATCGTTTTTGGTATTCCGACGTCTCTATAGATCCGAGAGTCGGAGTTTTCTCCAACATAAAACTAAGTAGCCCTGTCAATATGGTTGAGATTGACCATGCTGGATTCCATGTATCTGGATGGAAATCGGTTATGCTAAGGCATAAGCGTGTGTTTGTCTTAAATCTTCCATTAGGCGTAATCATATAAATCGATGGTGGTTTAAATGGAAATTCTCTGGGAAAGATAATTTTGCCGTGATAGTAACCTCCTTCATACGGACTTTTTTCGGGTCCCTTTACGACGTAATGCCATTCTAGAATATTAGAAGGCACAGGTTCCGCAGTAACATACGGTACAGGGTCATTTTTAAGCCTCAGATAGTCTTGCTTCAATCTGCTGGTAGCACCCGTCACCTTAGCTTTCGGCATCGTTTATCGACCAAGTAACTTCAAATACTAGTTGAAGTTAATATTCCGCATTAAACCAACTTATTCATTGTACAACTGTAGTATGTCCAAAATGATCTCTTGAATAAATTATCTTTTCACTAAAACAAATAATCGTTATAAAGAACAGGATACGTCATTACCAAAAGACTTGCGAACTTGCGATTCGCTCAAACTTCGAGTGCTTGACGTCAATGTCACACATAATATTGACATTTGTGTTTCGCCACGAAATCTCATTTAAAATAGAAATATAAATTATTAGCCAAAATAATTTCATTAATTTATCTAAAAACTTAAAATAAAATGAAGATGAAAAACAAAAATATTTAAAATGAATATTAAAATTTTTATCAGGTCCCCAAAAAAAAATTTAAGGAAATGCACTGACATAAAAGAATATTACATTTTATCTGTTTCTATTTCAACTTAAAGGAAATAATAAATGCTATTTAGATTTTTCATGTACCCTGGCGGAAAAGTCTATTTTCTATTTATTAATTAAATTATCGAAAACCGTTATAGTTATTTTTCTATAGACTATAGTCAATCGAAAAAATTCTCTGGACTCTCTCTATTTTAAAAAATATTCAAATAAAATCGACAGGTTATAATAACATTTAATACATAACAAAAAATACATAAGTCATGTTCCACAATTTATCAAAATACTTCTTATTTCGTTGTTCAATTGCTTGAGCGTGGCCTCGTCCGGGTTGTCTTGTTGTATCAGCTGGTCCCTTTGGCTTATTAGTTCATTTAATTTATCATTTATAGAGTTTTTAGAAGTATTTCTGTAACAAACAATTATTAGTATTGTATCCGGTAAAATATATGTTGGCTTTTTCTACTATTAGACGAAAGTATGAACATATAGTTTCCTATATGTTACGTCCTCTGTCGAATTAACGTAGGCAAAGCAAATGCGGTTGTCTATAGAAAAATGTCATTTTATAACAAAAGATCTTGTACAAAAAACAATTCCTCTAATACTTGAACTTTGATTAAAGTACATTTTTGAAAGTGTTTTACTAGCTGTTGCTCGCGAATTCGTCCGCATGTAATTAAAAATAAAGCCTATGTTACTCAGTGATAACATAGCTTTTTAATGGCGGTCAGAATTTTTGAAATCGACCCATTAGATTTTGAGTTATTTCAATACATACAAAAATACAAATATTTCTTTTTAATATTAGTATAGATTACTTCTTGATATTTTACTTACTTCATTTCCATGAACATATCTAATCCGTCGGGTCCCGGTAAACCTGTAAACAATTTTGGTTAATTTAAATATAATAAATTAAAAAAGATGGTAAAAAAAGCATAGTTTTATTTACTATCTATTAATACATCCTTAAAACATGAATGTAATGAACTGTATTTAAATTATTAGCCAATAAATGTCACTAAATCATATTTAAATGTTTATTTTGATAACAAAAGATATGTATAATTTTATAAAATATGTCTGTAAACTTGACAACTAACATAGCTTTTCAAAGTTACCAGTCTTTTGTAGCTATAAGATAGGAATGTCGAATGTCGTAGGAATGATTTTTAGTAGTAAATTTAATTTTAAAACATTAGTTTTAAAAAACATTAATTTTATTTAGATTTGGTACTAACTGATAGCTGAGTGTGACTCCAATGGCGGAGTGTGCGCCAACAGATCCGCGTAGAAATCGTCCTTTAACTTCTTAATATCAGTTTCATTGACGTCATCGCCTCTCATTTCATAATCATCGATTGTATCCAAACTGAAAATAAACACAATTTTAAAACATTCATTTTATTTTTAAAAATACTTTTTATATATAAAGTAATTATTTTTCAACTCTACACTAAAACAATCTAAGGATCTGTTTAGCAAAACATATTTTTTTATCGAAAATTAAATTGAACTTTATACCATTGCCGTAAGAGTTCATTTTACTTTGTACATCTAACAAGCTCAAAAGAAGTGCAAAATAAATTAAACATTATCCCAATTTAATACAGTTCAATTTACTCCGCTATCTGTTATAAGCAATCTGCACAAAAATAGCATAAACCTTACACCAATGTAATAAAGTTCAATTTACTTTACTCTGTTAGAAGCAGTCTGCACAAAACTAGTGCTGTCTCGCTCACCCGTCTGGATTCAAGCGGCTCTTCTCGCGGCGCAGCTGAGACAGCATGTGCCGGCGCGAGGACATCTTGGCGAGGTGCAGCTCGCGCACGGCGCGCCCCCACTGCTCCTTGAAGAACGCCTTCGACTGCACCGCGCTGTCCAGCTTCTCTTCTAGACAACGCTAAAAAAAGTAAAAAACGCTTGATAAAGAAAAGTATAAGAGCCTGTCCCACCACTGGCTGATAAAGGGTCAGATAGCTTAAAATTGACGTTTTGAGATAAGGTAAAAAATCCGATATTTCCATAACATCACGTTGGATTGTTATCAGACAATTTAAAATTTTGTGGGACAGATCTTTAGTGTTTATATTATAAAATTGGAGTGTCCGTATGTATATCGGAAAATATCCATATTTCGTGATGATGTATTTGCGTTGCTGATAATGAAAAGGAAATTAAAAAAATATCTGTCTTATTGTAGAAAATAGTAAAAAGCAAGTTAAAAACCTATAAAATTGTCTTGAGCCGGGTCAAATAACTAGACTGTCCATAGTGCATATTTTTTTACTATGTAATATATTTGTACTCACCAATTCTTGTATAAGACTTGCAGTCTGGTCCTTTGTTAAACCTGAATGTTTACTTTCTGCATCCTTCTCCATATTCTTCATATTATTCTGTAAAATATATGACAAATTATTTATTTAAAACAAGATTTTATTGGAGTGAAATAAATAAAAAAACAATATTTATTTGTTGCCGAGTACACGAGACAATTCCACGAGAATTAACATATCCAAGATAAAGACCTAGACTAGACGGTTAAATATTTCTATCACTAGCCATCGCTCGCGACTCCGTCTGCGGGGTATTAAAAAAAAACAAAAGCTCCCCTATGTGTATCAGACTATCTTCTATGTCTATGCCAAATTTCATAGACATTCTTTCAGCGTTCAACTTCTTACTTTGTAATATTAAACTGCTGTTACGCTACAAAATAACAAACATTCATCCATCTAAACTTTCGCATTTATAATATTAGTAAGACTTATCAAGATCCATCCAAGATCCATACATCCATCCAACTTTTGTATTAAGTTACCTTGAGTACTTCAATATTCTTCTCCAACGTCTGCACCTTCAGTTCCAACTCCTCGACCTTCATATCCTTCAGTTTGAGCTGATGATGCATGTCCTCTTCCATCTTCTGCGACGCTTCTCGCAACTCTTGGTATTTGGCTGTGTAATGTGCTTCTAGAGCTTTCTTAGCTTCCAGTAACTGTAAATGTTAATTTAGTTAAAATTGTTGCATTCTCAATAAATACAAAAGAAAAAATACTTTGCTTGGTTTTTAAAAAGTTTGGTCGTAAATATGATATAAAAATATCCAAACTTTTACAGTTACTCAAAAACTGCTAAATTTATCTTTTTGATATTTTCTCTTCATACATCTTTAAATTTAAAATTACATAATTGATTATTTTAAGGTATATTTAGCTTTAAGCATCCACAAAAGGTCACTAAATTAAAACTTTGTTTAACTTTCCTTGCTAAATATAAACAACTAGCTGTCGCCCGCGACTTCGTTCGCGTGATATTAAAAATAATAACAATCAGCCTATGTAGTAACATAACATAAACACATTGTCAGTAGACAACGCAGATTTTTATTGGTGAATAATTTTTTGAAATCGGTCTAGTAGTTTTTGAGTTAATCATTACAATCAAAGTTTTCCTCTTTATAACATTAGTATGATAAATATGATTCTTAAGTAAAACAAATACAATCCTATTTTTCCCAAGAACCCCCCCCCCC